AGTGGAAGCATAGTTGTTTTTGCTGCACCACCCCAGGAGGTAATGCAGTAGGAGATTATTGATTGACCAAGTGCCTGGTAGGTCATGGTGAGCGTTTTAAGGTCTGCTGAACTTCGAAGAGTTTTAAATACATAGATCAGTTTCCTGACTCGTGATGTTAAATTATTTATATGTATTTTCCATTTTAGGAACTGATCTATGTAGACACCCAGATACTTAACCTGGGAAGTCCTGGAGATAGTTGCACAGCTACAATTAGTAGTGGGATCGATGCATGTGTGCAGTTTAATTTGATAAGTGTCTGTAGGTGGCAGCATAGATGTTTTGTGTGCAAATGTCATGAAACAGGTTTTATTGGTGTTTAGTGTAAGGAGATTAGCTGTTAGCCAGGCCTGAACCTTTGTAAGAGCAGTTTCAGCGTGGTGTTTTGTTTCATCCCAGGTTGCACCTTTTATTAAGAGTACCGTATCATCAGCATACGCATAAATATTGCAATTTGTGGAATGGAGTTCACAGAGGTCATTAATATAGATGGAGAATAATGTTGGGCCTAAAATACTCCCCTGGGGAACGCCGTAGTCCAAAACTTGTTCAGAACTTGTGTAGTTTCCAATTTTAACGGCTTGTGTCCTACCTACAAGGTAATCTGAAAACAGCTTAAGCGGCACTCCTCTTATGCCGATTTGTTCCAACTTTCTCACAAGAATGGGGACGGAGACGGTATCAAACGCCTTAGATAGGTCCAAGAAAATGGCAAGACATTTCCTTTTACCGTCCAAACCGTCGATTATATCATTTACCAGACTTAGTACAGCATCCTCAGCTGATATACCTTTCCTAAAGCCGTATTGGTTACGTGATATGATGTGTTTTGACTCTAAATAACTCGTCAGACGTTTGTTTAGAGCCTTTTCAATCACTTTCGACATTGCGGGCAGAACTGAAATTGGCCTATAATTATTGACAGTATCTCCATCGCCACTCTTGTGAATAGGGTGTATTATAGCTTTCTTAAACATGTTCGGGAAGGTGCCGGTTGAAAATGAAAGCCGACAGACATGTGTGACAAGTGGGATTAGTATCTCAGCAGAATCCTGTATTATAGCAGCCGAGATACCATCTCGACCAACTGCGCAGTCTCTGCGTAAAGATTTGATCAATAGCTCAACCTCACCGCTATCAACGTCGAGTAGCACAAAAGAGTCACGTTGGGTGCTAATCGATGCCACTCGGCCATCAGGTGTGGTCACTAGTATGTGTGAGGTGTTTATTTTAGCTGCCAGATCCCGGCCCGCACTAACAAAGAAGTCATTGACTGCGTTTACAGACAGTGTTGGGTTCTCCTTGATACTCAAGAGAGTGTTAGCGATTGACGCTTTGGGTAGTGTGTTAGTTATTGTTTTTATAGCGTTCCACGTAGCCCGAACATTGTTTTGAGCTGTCTCCAATAGTTTTTGTTGGTAGCCAATTTTTAATTTCCTCAGTAATTTATTTATAAAGTTTCTATATCTTATGTACGATAACCTTAGTATAATATTATTTGGGTCCCTCTTTTGAGCTTTATGCATCCGGTCACGGTTACGGATACATCGTATTAAGCCTGGAGTGATCCAAGGTTTAATGTTCCTTTTTGTACGTCCTACTTTATAAATTGCGGTATTGTTTTTAATTATATTAGAGACGCACGTTATTAAATAGTCTGTAGCAGAGTTTACGTCGTTTGTAAATAGAACCGGGGAGTAATCTGTGTTTTTAATCGTATTTTGTATTGCAGTATGATTAGTTTTATTACGAAATATGTCTGGTCTAGAGATAGTTTTCTTCAGTGAGAGTAAAAGAAGTGTGGGCAAGTGATCAGTAATATGAGTGTGGATAATTAGTGTAACTGATTGTAACTTTGATTTTAACAGAACATGGTCCAAACAGTTTTCATATCTGGTTGGAATATTGTGTGTGGAAGTTAAACCGTGAGACGTTATGAGGTTAAGATATTCATGGGATCTTTTGTCAATGGTATTTGTTTTAATATCTATATTAATATCCCCGGTGATGCAAACATTTTTGTATGTTTTTAGTGTTAACAGTGTTTCGTTTAAACCATTGAGGAAATTATCCAATTGGGTATATGAAGGCGATCTATAAATAGCCACGATTGCCAGATCTCTGCCGAATTTGCAAATCATACAGTTAAACTCTTTAATATTTGTAGGTTCACTAATAGAGTAGTTTATCCCCGCCTTTATATAGATTACGATACCGTCATTTTGATTATCCACCCTGTGAGTATAATGAGAATTGTAACCAGTTATAGTAGGAACGTTAGATATTTTTGAGCACCAGCATTCTGTTAAGACAATAATGTCGCAATGTACATTTATTGAGACCAAAAAAGCCTGTAGTTCGTCAAAGTTCTTATTAATGCTACGTATATTTAGTTGCATAACTGAAAACGGGTGACTAACAGCCAAGACATATTCGAGACATTCATCGGTTGAGCACTGAAAAGATTTCATTACGTTGAGCGTTTCAAGTTCTGATGAAATTTTACATAAATCGTTAGCCATAATCTAATAAACAAATATTGCGTTTAGAATATTTTATTAGACAGAAATTGAAACACTCAATATTTAATGAGATATGTACTAAGAAGTAGGTTGACAGTGCTAAAATATCAGTTCTGGCGGGGTTATAAAACAAGCCCTGATAACTAGTCATATTCAGGTATAGGGCCTTATGTGTGTGGGGTGGAGAGAATGTGAGAGTATTGTGTGCATCTAATCTGTGAGGTGAGAAGATGACGTGTAGTGATTTTTGGCGTGTCGGTATTGTTATGTAAATTAGATGTGTCAAGGGGCTCATTATCAATACTTTTAACCAATTAAATACTAAAGTAAGTAGGAGGAATGTGGTTAACAAAATAGATTTTAAGACAGTTATCCTAGGCAACCATTTTCCGCTTATAAATGAGAGTAACTGTGAGGAGTTTTTTCTAAAGTTCTCAACACAACAGATATTAGTTAAAGAAACAGGCCCTAGTCATTCCCTCACTTCTAGAGTGTTCAAGTCTTCCTCAGAGTTTATTGCAATACGATCAGTGGCTTCATCTCTGCGTATATAAATTTTCCGATTGGTGGTCCAACAAAATTTATAATTTTTGTTTTTCGCAAATACTCGTGCCTGGTGGAACAACTTTCTACCACTGCCCGGCATGTATTCTGTTATATATACAGGGGACGGTGGGCCTAGTATTCCAACGTGACTCGTATTTAATTTCTGGGACATTTCTTTATTCCTGTTGTAATCACGTACGGACGCAAGTATTTTTTGTTTCATAGCCACTGTGTTAAAATCCACCACAATTATCTTATTGCGACCTGGTTTATTCGGGAGACGATAGATGTCGCGTATTTCTGACGTATTAATGTTTACGCTTACGGTTTTTCCAAGGTTTTTAACGTGTTTTTGGATATCCTCCAACGTCTCCTTCTCTTGCCATGGAATATTTCTTATTTCGATGGTGGATGACCGAGTGCCTAACTCCAACACTTCAATTCTTTTCTCTAATATTTCAATGTATTTATAACTCTGTAAACGTTCCTTTTCAAACTTTTCTAGCTTCGATTTCATGTCTTCATAAGTTGTTTTTATGCTTTCGATAGATTTTTCTATATCTAAGTTACTTTTTTGGATAGTTTTGTTTTGCAGTTTTATGTCTTTAATGTCATCCGCCAGCCTAGCAAACATCATACAATGATTTGATTTCAAGGTTTCGAACATATCTCTCATTTCCACTTGAAATTGTAGAAAATCACTTGCAGGAGGGGAACAGTCGGACCTCGGTCTTTTGTATCTAGTCGTTATATTGAATATGTTTTCGTCTACTGCGGCAGGTATATCTGTATCAGACTGCGTATGCGAAATTTGTGACTCGTTAGGAGTTTTTTTGGGAGTACGCATAATACTCATGATGATATGCAAACAGCGCCAAAATTGACGATAAAAAAAGTAAAATTAATCAGTTATAAATAGGCTTGTAATTCTATTTATTTACAGTAAACGACAATAAGCTAGTAGCCGAGGTCCGTAGCACTGGTAGCACAGTATATTATGTATTAAGAGTGACTCACAGTCTCGCACTGTAGCATGTGCACTCCCCACTCACTCTCCGCAGCCGTAGCAGCTAGAACGAAGCCGATGCTTGTAGCCGATACGCTATCTTTAAGAATAAGAGTTTTATCTATACAAATAAATAAAATTGGAGTGTCTGTTTGTAATATTAAAATAACCGCTTTTTACTAAATGCATATGTATGTTTATACGGTACATATGCCAAAAGAACATTTTTTACAATTTTTGTCTGTCTGTCTGTTTGTTCCGGGTAATCTCTGGAACGGCTGGACCGATTTCAACGGGACTTTCACTGGCAGATAGCTGATGACATAAGGAGTAACTTAGGCTACTTTTTTCAGACTAGCTTCGCCCCGCAGCGTTGCCCGCGGTTATAACAACAAATGCGGGTAACACCGCGAGTCTCAGCTAGTTTTAAATATAAGGGAAGGTTGCGGTGATTGGACCACATTACTCAATCCTCAATGGACTTAGAAACATTTTTACCAAAGGTCCAATCATCATCATCATCATCAACAGCCTATACTAGTCCACTGCTGGACATAGGCCTCTCCTTAGAAAGGAGGTTTTGGCCTACTATCCAGGGTCAAAGGTCCAATCATGACAACTTAATTAAAACACATAATTTTAATCACCTTTTTATTAATAGGAACAGTAGGAATCACCTAAATATCTATAAGGCTTAAGGTCAGACAATGTTCACATCACTACCAGTTTTCCTTGACGATATTAAATATGTTAAGTTGTTACTGCTCCATGATGGTGTGTGAAATCGTGTACGATAAATAAATATTTTTTTTCAGCCTCTAAAAGCTTGCTCTTTCGATCTAATGGTCAGGTGAAGTAACAATACCTTCAACACACGTGACATTTTAGATGAAGGATCGAACTTGAGGTTCAATATTCTCATTTGGTTCTTTGTCAGCGGCTATGAATTTGTAGTCAGCGAACATCTTTGATGATGATGAACATCTTTGTTTAACGGGTAGGTACCCGTTTTCGAAAATATCACTTTCTGTTGTTATAATTTGAATCTTTGCCATAGTTTTCATCTTTACCATAAATTCAAGTTGTTTAATGCCTGTTTTTTTTCTGACGACAGCCTCTGTGGCAAGTTTCATGTTCTCTTCCAGGCGTAACATGATTTCTAATTTTTTTCTGTCTTCATCCTAAAAAGAACTTAAACAACAAGTTAAATTATATTTAAGATTTGATTGGGCCAGTCCATTCATAGCTCCACTATGCTGGACCAATAATTGCTACTAGGTAGGTACTCAATGAAACAATTTTTTTTCTCTTAAAAAAGGGAAGGAAATTGGAAAAACTCGCAACAATCAACTAAAATACAGATAAATATCTTATTAATAAAACATATTATCATTGATTAAACAAAAGTATTTCAATACTCACATCGATTTTTACGTTGCACGATTTTTATATCGCCATGTAACGTTCATGCACGCTGCTCTGCAAAACCTGGTACCATGATGCTAAGGTTTAAAAGGATAGTCGCTAGGCTCGACACTGTTGTCTAGCAACTGACTGAACACATTCTAACATGCTTAATTTTTGAAATACTTAGGTGGTCATAACAAGTATGTCGGGGCACCAGGGACTTCCTTTCTAGGGTATAACTGGTTCCCCGGCTATTAGTAGGTACCCGAGACGGCGTGCGGTTTTAGTCCGACATGCTACCGATGGTATCCGAGGGAATCTCCGTACGAAAAAAAAAAAAACTAAAAAGTGGTCATAACAAAGCGCTGGTCCAATGATCGCAACTTCCCCTATTAAAGAAACTGATTAGGTATGTTTTTCTTTGCAGATCTCATCAAAATGGTTTAAAGCAAGCAACAGTTTGTTTCAAAATCTACAAGACGCTGCCTAAAAGGTAAGGAATTAATTATTACTATACTTCTGTTCCTACAGATCGAGAGCACAGGCAAATCTTCCTAAGTCACGAAAACAAGTATTCGTTTAATCTTATTCAACAAAATCAGAACTGGTTGGTAGAAAATTATGATGATATGCTTGTTCGTACCCGCCATCACAATAGCATCCCAAACATGTCCGCCCGATCAGAGTCTATACCAACGAACGGATCGTACGGTGTCGCCATATTTTTTCTTTTTAATTTTTCATTCCCCTTCTCAAATCGAAAGAACTCACACTGCGATCAACTAAGTCTCCCGTCTTTGTAAGAAAGAGATAGATCTATCACTTTTTTTCTCATTTCGCTCCAGCTGTATCTCCTTTGCAAGAACGAGACACCAAATAAAGTAAAATGGCGTCGATAACACGGCATGGCAATGGCCCTGTAGCTGAAATTCTTAAGCACACATGCACAGTTTGTTAGGGTGTGAGTTTTAATCGTGTTCTCGATTGGGAGGGTCCGAAGATCAGTTGTCTTCAACCGTGTAAACGATATAATTTTTTATTAAAAAAATAATCAACCAAAAATGAAATAATTTTGTTTTTTTTTAATAAAAAGTTGTATTTGAAAAAAAAACTAATAAAATAAATCCATACTATTGTGATTTATTTGTTTAAATTAGGGGGAAGTCCCGTAGCGCCGGACGGCACCTAGCGCCGGACACTCATACTATTTTGACAAACGTCAACGCGATCTATTTATAAATCGGTGAAAGGGGTGTGGGGGAACGTAGCGAGACAGGATCACGCAACGCGATTTGCCAGTGAGACGCACAGTCGTGGTGGAAGCCGTGAATTGCTGTTTTTGGTGGGAAAGCGTTGCGTCACGTAAATTTCAAGTAAGTATTACTGCTATGGTTTTATCCTTAATTGTTTTTGTTATTTGTTAATAAAGACAGTGTTTCACTGTAATTATTATATTGTGAAAGTTTTTATTAAATACCTAAACAGTTTTAGTATGAAATACGTAACTTTGGACGTTTCCTGTCCCTTACTTTCGGACACAAAGGTGTCCCTTACCACCGGACAGTTTATAGGTTAGCTTTTTTATGAAGCATTTGTACTTATTGTAATAATGATTGTTTGTTGTTTTACAGGATAGAAGGAGAGAGATATTTGAAAATTCAAGAGAGAAAAAAAAAGGAAAATGGGATCAGCAAAGTTTAAAAACTGCGATGAACAAGATTTTGTCCAAAAAAATGAGTTTGAGGGCAGCTTCGTCACGTTACAATGTTCCAAAAAGTACTCTGCATGATAAAATAACGACATTGAGCAGTGGAAAAGAAGTCACGTTGCAACCAAAAGTTGGTAGATTCACAAAAACCTTCTCACCCGAGTATGAGCAAGTTTTAGTGGACCACATAAGAGATTTGTCTAATAGATGTCTGCCCCTGATGAAAAACGAGTTTTTGAAGTTAGCTTACGACTTGGCTGAAGCTATGAAGATTCCCCATGAGTAAACCAACCAAACATGGCAATAACGACAACAAAAAGGAGCCGTTAACTGAAGTATCAAATATAGAAAAAACGACTTGTGTAGTGTGTTTAGAAGACCACGACGAGGACTGGATACAATGCTCCAGATGCCAATAATGGGCTCATGAAGCATGTGCAGACGTTCCAGAATGTGGAGATGCCTACATATGTGATAGATGCTAAAAGTTTTAGAATGTCCGGCGCTTGGGGTTTGAAGATTAACCCGTCCGGCACTAGGTGCCAATGTCAAAGTCCTTTATTTTTTTACCAAAACTTATTTAACATTCCTAAACTATGTTTACGCAGAATTTGTATTTTTGTTATTTGATTTTGATTTTATGTTTTGTTAATTTAAGTAATTCATAAATAAATACATATTTCTCGATGTAGTTTTAATTTTATTTCCTGAAAACCTTATGTGTCCGGCACTAGGGGACTTCCCCCTACTTTGAAAAAAAATATTTTTTAGGAAAACCAAACATTAAAAAAATGCAATAAGTACTTATTATACTCGTACTTAAAATATAATAAAAAAATAATAAACTAAGTACAATATAAAAGAAACATATTAACAAAAAGCGTAACATCTTTAAAAATTACATGGGCTGCTATGAGGGCTGCATGAAGCTACACCCATTCAATATGGGTATATATTGATATTCATGTGTGATAATATATACGGGTATATATTGATATCTATTAGTGAATTTACCAGCCAATGAAATACAAAAGAAATTTAAACTATTTAGTATAATTATACCACTACGTTATACTACTACTATTTTCTTAATATAGGAATTTAAATCATTAATTTCAAATCTTTATTAATAACACATTTTACTTAAGAAGTTAGGTATTAGATATTATGTTATATTTCTTTTTGCTGCGGTTCATTAAAATTCTTAGTTTTATCAATGTTACAAAAATGTTTGGCGCATCTGACAGGGAAGAAGTTAGTGCCGGAAGTATTACGAAGATGGCGTTGATATCAAAATCCTCAAATACTTTTGGGATACAAAATTGAAGTATTTGAGGATTTTGATATCATGTATCAAGGATATGAATATATTAAAGACGGCGATTCCCTTTATTATAAATGAATTATCAATTACCGTATAATAATATAATATTAATTGTATTATAATAAACAATAAAGATTTATAATAAACTTGAAGATTACAACTACACATAAATAGTTCCTATAATTAATAACGAAGAAATAAGTAACTTTAATTTAAACGTATTTTTGTCTTATATGTAGGAAGGTACTTGTTCTCAGTCTTAATTCAGAATCAAGTTTTTAAATTTCAATGGTTTCTAAAAAGTATACTTTAATGCTAACCAAGGAGGTTTAATTTTCATTGCAACAACAGTAACCAGGACCAACAGTGCCAATTCAATATCTGAAATGAATCTTATTTCGTTGATCTGAAATGAATCTTATTTCGACTGCAGTTAAGCTTAAATTAGAACACATTTTTTAAAATTTATTTCATAGACAAGTTTTTTTTAGGAGTGTGCGTATATTAGGTACATTTGTAAAGAAATAGGTTCACATACCTTGTGACATTGTAAGTTGTACTAACTCTTTAAATGGGTGTTATGTTGAACTAAGCTAATAATTGTCTTACCCCAAACGTTTGTAGGGACTCTTGTGGTTTGAACAGTCAGATCAGTAGCTCTGGCAGAAAGGCTAAGCTCTATTATTAGAATTCAGAGAATAGATAGATTTGATAACACAGAAGTAGTAAAAGAGCATAACCAATACGTTTAGTTTGGTTATCAGGGCCACCAGAGGTTCTTAACAGGAGTTTCACTCTTGTACCTACATCTTCATGTAAAAAAAACTGGGTTTTGTTCTGTTACGATAATAAAAAAGATAAGTAAAGTAAAGTGTAAAGTCTGATACAGGCAAAAACATTATTATTTTATTCAATGCCTAACAATTAAAAAGTCTGACAAAGCATTCACTGTGCTCAAACTTCCTAAAAGTTCTGACAAAGCATTCATTGAGCTCAAACTTCCTAAAAGTTCATTAACTTTCTGGCAGATGGCGTTAAAACAAAAATATTTTGAAGCCTTAATTTTAAATCAGTTAAATGCAATTTACAGAGTTATATTTAAGAATATATTGGTATTTGTAGTGTAATAAATAAGACTTTCATTTAAGATTAAAATGATGTAACGCAACTTTAATAATTTTCATAATAGGTAATCCTTAAGATTATGGCAGGTAGTTATAAAAACATTTGTATTTTAATCTAAAACACACTTAGGTAATATTTGACTTAGGTAATGTATGTTAAAGTTATAATTTAATACAATAATAATATTTGTGTGAGAGAAATCTATAGTATTTCTCTCACACATAACATTATAGGTACGCAGGTAAGTAGGCAACATTTTTTTATATTTTTGTAGAGATATTAAAAATGTTGTCGTTAGCTAATTAAAAACAAACTGTTTATTATGTCATTTGTTTTGTTGGTAGGAAACAATATACTTATCCACAGGATGTGCACGCGCTTCCTAGAAAGACAAGTTGACCCAATTTTCTATTAAAATTCAAATTAGTTTTTTGCGAGCAAAGAGAAAGCTTGACAGTCAGTATAGTACCAGATTTTAAAGGTTGAAGTAGTGTGGTGTACGCAAAATGTTGAAATTATGTTTTATTTTAGTTTCAAAAACTAATTTTGATATAAACACAGGGTGTAAACGTATGCGCGTTGTTTGGCAC